TTATTATTAGTATTATCATTATCATTATTATTATTATTATTCTTATTATCATTATTATTATTATTATTTTTCTTCTTATTATTATTGTTATTATTCTTCTTCTTCTGCTTCTGCTTCTGCTTCTGCTTCTGCTTCTGCTTCTGCTTCTTCTTCTTCTTCTTCTTCCTCCTCCTCCTCCTCCTCCTCCTCATCATCCCCCCGCGGGGGGGAATGTCCTGCCCGCGCGGCGCCGGGGCCGCAACGCACGGCGGGGCGAGGGGGCGCCATGCCGGCTCGCCCCGGGGCCGCGCGCTGGAGACGGGGAGGAGGCGCGCTGAGGATGCAGTGGCCTTGAGGACCGCGTCGAAGCTTCTCGACTGGGGCACGGCCAACGAGAGTGGATAGGGGAACAAAAAGTGACATAAACATAACAACCCGGAGGTCCGCGCGGATTTCTCGGATCGGCGCTGGGGCCCCCCGGCGGCGCCTCCGGCGCAACCTCTGGCGCGCGGAGCGCGCCAGGGTGGGGGGTCCAGCGCCGATCCGAGAAATCCGCGCGGACCTCCGAGTTTTCATGTTCATGCCACTTTTTGTTCCCCTGTGGATGCAAGGATGCACGGCCAAGGATGGACAGAGGACGCAAGAATGCAGAGGTACACTTGGGAAGGCACCCTTGGGGCGCCCTTTCGCGAACCGAGAACGGCCAATTCCTTAATCGACGTGTCAGGGCAGGAGGCCTATCCACCTTCGAAACAACGTAGCCGGCATGACGGCGAGAGCACGAAGCCATTGTAGATAAAACCTCAGACGAAACGGCTGCCGGACCGGGCTCCAGTTCGATCGATGGCCTCCAGGATGTTCCCAAAGAGGTTCTCCATGTCCCCGAAGCGGCCACTCAGAGGGCTCCGGAAGTGTGCATAGTGGCCCCAAGAGAGCCCCAGGGTGAATCCAAGAGGCCTGCGAAGTGATCCAAGAGGTCTCTAAATTCAGCATTGTCGGTCTCCTGGTTGCACTACATGCTTATATGCTTTCCTTTCCCCAAAAATTCGCGTCGTTTCTGGATGGTGCGGCGCGGATACGGGCGTTGCGCGTCTCTCGGCGATGCCCAGCCAGCGCTGCATAGGTAGGACATATGTGCCCTATACCATCTCCCGTCCCTGCTCGTCTTATGTAACGTGACCGCACCAATGCGGTTTGAGCAATTTCTCCTCCTCCTCCCCCTCACCTGGGACCACCTCCCTCCTTGCCTGGACGCCCCAATTTCGCTCGTGATTGTATAGTGCCCTTCGGGTCCGTCTGGAGCCAGTTGGAGTGCTCTGGGGCCCCCTGTTGCAGTAAGGCTATGTCTGGGCTCCTCGTCTCGAACCGCCCCATGCTCTCGTCTAGCCTTGTCAGTTCCTGGAGGCCCTCAAGGTGCTGATGGGCCCGGGGGGTAGGACTATCGTCCACCCATGTTCCGCCCCCCCGGGCCGTTGTATTCCCTGGCTGTCGTCAAACTTCGATGCGCCGAATACTGCAGCCACAACCGATCCGCGTTCCCTAGGATGTTTCGCCCAGTTATGGTACCATCTAAACCGTCTGACTAAGGGCGACGGCTGTCCTCTCCAACCTTTACCATCTGAATACCTGAACGTTAGTGTTACACCTAGCCGTGCCGTCCTCTCTCTCTCTCTCTCTCTCTCTCTCTCTCTCTCCGATGACATAGCGCCCCCTGCCATAGTTCTGAGGTGCTGCAAGCACACTGTCCAATGCGACTGTGTGGGGGCGCCTAAGTGAAAAAGAGGTAAGACCGCTAAGCGCCGCCCCTAGTCCGAATGCCATGGACATATGACGTTTGATCTGTCGTTGCGTCTCAAATGTCCAGACGATGCCACATTGTCTCCAAGCAACGCACACTGCTGCTATGCGTCGGCTTACTTCGCCAGCTAGCCCTTGGCCTGCTGGAAGGCATGGTCCTAATACCCTCATTTCCCATAGAGCTGCCACCTGGAATGGTTTGCTCCGTCGGAGATGCCTGGTGGCCGTGTAGTTTCCTGGTCCTACCAGGTGTACCAAATGGTTGGTTGTTCCATTGTTGAGACCCCAACCCCCTTGGCATTGGTAGTGGCCAGCTTTGCCGTGGTTGTGTTCAGCTCCCCCTCGATTGCCTTGTAGTGTCGGCCTGCTGTAAAATTGAATGTTCTTGTAATGCCGTGCGTACATGCGCTGATGGCACGGTCGCATGTTGCTCCGTCTGCTGGGTTAATGGCGTCGTGCAAGTGCTGGTTTGGGCCCTTGAATTCCCCCCCCACCCCACCCCCCACCCCCGCCCCGCCATTGGGTGACGCGCGCGTCGAATGCGTCGTTAAACTGTCTTGGGCACAGGGTGAGGCACATCTGGGCGCCCGCGGCACTGGCGACTCCGTCTAGGCCGCCGGATGCTGCTAACGCGAGGGTCGAGTGTCCGATAGCTGCCATTGCGAAAGGCTTGTCTTTGTCGTGGGAAGGTTTGAACGGAACTGCTCGAAGGAGGTGCTCGACTGGTGGCAGGCAGCAAATGCGTTGGTACCGTCGTAGTTGGCAGTCGTTATGCTGATCCCTCCCTGCGCAGCCCTCCACTGCGCCGCGCGCACACGTATGGTCGCATTCTCCCTAGATCTGCGCGGCAGGCCTCCCTGCGCCCATGGCGCGTGTGCGCGCGTGTGTGTGTGTGTGTGGGGGGGGGGGGGCGTGGGTGGCTCTCCTCTCCTTGGGATGTCAGAGTGCCGTGCCATGCTGAACGAGCCGTGAAAGTGCAATATGCACTTGCCCAGAACGCCCTCCTGGTTGTCGTCGGCGTTTCTTTTTTCCCTGCTGGGAAGGCCTGTGATCTGCGCCGGCCCTGTGTCGCAACTTCTGTCATCCTGCGTGCTTCGAGGAATCTGTCCCAGGTAGGTGGGCGCGCGCATGTGTGACTCGCCATCTTCGGTACGCCTATCCCTGCATGCTCACTTCTTTTAATGTCATGGGCCCGTGCTGCCCACAGTAGTAGCTGACGCTCTGGGTCGTACTCCCCTCCTCATCTGCCCAGGGCCATTCCCCCCTGCCATCCCACCCCCTGCATCAGCTGCCGCCCCGTGCGAAACCTCCCTAGTGCAGTGTAGTGCGCCAGCCCCTCTTCGTTTTCTCTTGCTTCATTTGCCTCTACCCCCCCCCCCCCCCCCCTCCCCATCCTCTCACTCAACTCTGTCGGGTCTTCGAGATGCAAGCCGGGGTCAAGGAGGAATCATGCCATCTCTGTGGGTAGCCCCCACTCTGACCATGCACGCCGCTTGTGCGCTTTCTTGCAGTACCGCGGCATGGCTGCCTTGTCGCTGTCCACCAGCCCTCTGACTTCGTGGTCGCAAGGTAGGGGAAATGCGCATTCCTCGACGTACTCTGCGCGCTCCCCGCGCGCGAACGCACGATCCAAAGGTACAGCTTCCAGCCCCCCCCCAATGCTGGGTGGCTGAGTTCCTGCTCCCAGTGCTCCGTAGGCCAACTTGTCTCGGGGGTGAGATAATACTTCTTCATCAGGCCTCGGTCATTCCTCTGGCGCTGCATGCGTGGGCAACGCATCCCCCCAACAAGTCGGCGCTCGTATGCCAACCAGCTTAGTCATGCGATCCTTGCTCTTCGCTTGTCCCTGACATTTCTCCATCGTTTTTTTCGCGCTGCCGTCGCTTCTGAGTTCCGCCTGCGCAACATCGCATTCCCTGTCGTCGCACTCGCCGCGCAGTCTCTCTCATGTCAGACGGCCCCGTCGTAGTAGTTC